AGACAGGAGCTATAGGGTGTTATTTTCTGTATTACTCAAGGCGAAAGAGCAACTTCGTGGGCTTTCCTTTCCACAGCACTCATCGCAAGCTTGATATTTGTTAGTTTTTTCCATTACATTAAGCTCTGTGAGGGCTAGGAAATCACCTGGGTCCTGTTTACTACAGTTGTAGCTTCTCAAGCACAATATTGCCACTTAGTAGACACTTCACAAAGTATTTTCAATGAATACAAGTTCAGAAACTGACAAAATCTCAAACCAGGAAAGCTGAACTCCCCCAAATCAAAGTGACTAGAGATCCCCATATCTGACCATTATTCTCACCCAAGGCTGCGGTAGTCACATGCATAACGGCCCTAGTTCACGGCTCTATCAAAATGTTTCAAACCACCAGATACGTCAGTGAGCACCTATGTTCACGGCATCGAGATAAAATATGAATACTTGGCCTCCGCCCTCAACCAAACGACTAGGGCTGAGAGGATTCTGGTTGCAAAAATAAAAATAAAATAGGAGACACAAGCTGCGTACGGGGTTCAAGGCCACAACCCCCCTCACCCAAATATTCAAGCCTAAACCACAGTTTTAAGAGCTCCAAGGACCGGGAGGCGACAACCCGCGGAGACAAATGCGGCGGAAACTGTACTGAGACTTGACACGAAGGGCCGCAGATAAACTGGGGGTCGAGGGTTACCCTGCAGGGCGGGAGGCTGCTGGAGGCCCCAACCAGCAGCCAACACCCCCCTCATGTTTCCGGGCCTCCATTCCCGCTTCTCACAAGCCTCGTAACCTCGGTAACTCGGCCGGGGTCTCCTCCCACCCAGGGACCTGTCTCCACGTCCTCGCTCCTCCCCAGAGCCTACCCCCGGCCCTTTCCACCTTAGCGCGAACTCTCCTCCGCTCGGGTTCGAGCAGCACCCGAATCTACACACGGCGAATTCGGCGGCTCGCTTTTCAGCGCGTCCCCGCGCTACCACTGAGAGGACGATGAGGGAGGGCTAGAGAGGCTCATCACTACCATAAAGAGAGGCCCGGGCGAAGCCTAGAGCGGAAGGGAGCCAGGCCGCCTCCGGGGCGGAAAGGGCGGGACCACGTGAATTGGCGAATGATTCTAGGTGAGGCAATAGTTGCTTCAGACGCTGACACGATTTTGCCGTGTGTTCTCGGGGGTTGGGGAATTGGTCGGTCCTTGGGGCCATCTCTTAGGAGAAACGGGTTTGGCTAGCTTGGATTCTGTTCGCATATATCACGCCTGTGCGTGACGCCAAATATTTGCACCCTAATCCATCTGATCCCTGAAGAAGTGAATGAATTGAAAGGACCTCAAGAAGAGGCCCTTTATTTACTGTCTCACCTTTTATTTAATTTCTTTCATTGGAGCTAAATATATTCAAAAATGCATCTGTTTTAAACTGCAAAAATAACTTTATTACTTAGAGTAATAATGTAGGCTCCAAGAAGATACTTGTAAATTTTATAAGGGAAGAAATAACTTCCTTGTATCCCTATTGTCTGCCACAGTTTAGGTGCTCATTAATTTTTAAAGTGGGCTTATTTCATCTAGAATCTTTGAGAGCGCAAGATCTCTTAGACTGAAGGGTCGCAGCCATGAACCATTTTCAGGAGTGGGTAGGAGGGAAAAAACCCCCAAGCTATTTTTTTTTAACCAGCCAGGTGAAAAAAATGTGAGGAAAATAACGTCCACCAAAGCCCAAGCTTGCTAGTAACACTATACACACTTTAAGGTGTTTCCTGAATTGAGCTTATGGTTCTTTCTAAGACCAGCATGCTGCTGTGCAACCAGTCAGAGATTTGGGGCTCACTAATTTACCCCAGTCTGAGAAATGAGGAATGCCAGGTAAAAACAAGGGATAATCCCTTCAACTGTGTCTGTAGGAGGTCCCATTCAGTAATTCTTTTAGTGGTTACTTTGTGGTTGGCACTTTGCTAAGTAATAATGAGACAAAAGAATAAAAAGAGAGAAAGGAAAATAAACAGTTAATCACAGTGTGGTGTGATAAATGCCATCATGGGAACACAGGATATGAACAGGATAAAATGAGAATTACTAAAGCAAGGGTATTCTAAGAGTAGATTAATGCTTGAATTGAGCTGTCATATGGAAAATAACTTGCTGCAGTGGTGGCCTCCAAGTAAACTAGGCAAGCTATCCCAGAGGTAATGAAATAAATAGTAGGCTCACAGACCAAATTAGGATGCTTGAATAACATGTGTGATTGAATCAATTTTAATATCCAGTGAAAAGCAAATGGAAAGAGTTGGAGTTAAGTTGACACACTTAGGATAGGATGTAAGCAAGTAGAAGGACAATATCACCTGAATAA